TAAACCCTAAACCCTAAACGTGGGTACCTGGGGGGTTAGGGAGAGCCAAGGTTCGGCTACGCCTACCCCCGCTGGAAGCTCGTCGGATCCCTGGGGCCCCTTATCAGCTGCGCCGGGGCTCCGAGCACAGGGGGCCCGTTTTAGGGGTTCAGGGATTGGGGTTTTAGGGTTTTTAGGGTTTTGGGGTTTTTAGGTGGTTTAGGGTTTGAGGGTTTTGGGTTTAGGGATTGGGGTTTTAGGGTTTTAGGGTTTTTAGGGCTTTTAGGGTTTATAGGGTTTTAGGGTTTGGGGTTTACCCATAGGCCCCATAGTAGTTCCTTTTTGGGGTTACCTTATAGGATTCTATGTATGAACCCAAAAAAGGAACTACCTTAGGGCCTATCAGACAGGGCTCTTTGGGTTTAGGGCTTGGGGTTCCGGGTTTTAGGGTTTTAGGGTTTAGGGTTTAGGGCTTGGGGTTCAGATTCCTGGGCTTCGGGCTTTGAGGCTTTAAGACTTATGTAGGGGTTTAGGGTTTTCAGGGCTTGGGGTTTGGGGTGGGGGCGGGGACCATTTGGGTTTTACGGGGACCCATACTAGTTCTTTTTGGTGGTTTAGATTCAGGACGAAGCTCCAGCAACAGAACACACAAACAACTCATGTACAGCTCCATGGCATCATATGCGAGAGTCTGTATGCATGCATGCATGCATGCATGCGTGCATGCATGCAAGATGTTGATGTAGTTCGCGCAGGTCTCTGGCGTCTTGCTGATCTACTTCTGCGAGCCACTGCAGCACATCAAAGGACCATCAACTCGAAAACCATCCAACACCCAAGCCCTAAACCCGTAACCTACCTCCCGAACCCCTAAACTCCGAACCCTGAACCCCTGAACCCCTCGCCCTAACCTTGAAGTGCTGATGTCTTGTATCGGCTGTTCCTAGACCTGCACTACTGAAAGCCTTTGAACTTTGGACTCCGAATTGATGGCAAAGAGCTCGGGTTGCAGACCTTCAGTGCTTTCGGAGCTCGGTCTTTTTTGGGTTAGGGTTCGGAGGAGGAGGAGGAGGCCAAGGCTTCAGGTTTAGGGCGAACTTGACTGTTGCTAGTGACTGACAAACACTTCATTCCCCAAATACAGCACAAGCAAACTAACCTGGCTTCTTAAGGATTGTGTTTAGGAGCAAGTCTTACCGTCTGCCAACTCCCAGCCCCACTCCTCTGTTTGTGAAGTCCGCATAGCTCAGAAGTTTGCGGATATAGGCGATTGGCTGGCTTGGTCGTCGACTCGAGCACAGGCGGTGTCACTGAATCCTCAGCCATTCCGAACAAAAGCTTGCTCTGCGGGTGGGGTCTTGATCGAGTCATACATCGCATCACGCACCATCTCATGTTCTTGATGCATGGATGACTACTTGAGTGCGTTCCGCCGCAGCACAGCCTACGAATCAGAACGATCAAGGGGTCGTTGTGGCAGAGCCCTGGTTCGATGCTCATCATTAACTTTGGGCTCAGGTGTGGTGTTATGAGTATGAGTGGTTGTCAAAATTAGGGTCCCTTTTTGGGTCCTTATTATAATACGGCACCTAATATTTAGGGTACCCAAAAAGGGACCATCATTTTGACAATCACCCGTATGTCTACAGGCAAGAAGCTCCCATCCCCAGAATCGACACGAAGATTGCTTGAAGGAGTCGAGTCCCGAACTCCAGACATCAAGCCGGCACAAAATCCCTGAGGCTGTGTAAGCTTCTAAGTTTTGGGGCAGAGCCCTTTAAGGGGTCAGGGTTTGAGTTTCGATTCACCGACCCCGAAACCCCGTCTGCAGCCAAACTCAGGGGCTGAGTAGGTAACCTTTAACCTTTTGGGGCTTATATGATCCTACTATAATTCAATCGGTTAACTTTTGGCTAGGGTACTCAGCCCCTAAGCAAAAGCATCGCGAAGTAAGACCCGAGTTCATGGGCAGGACTCGATTATGTCCACGATGTCCCAGGCGGCTCTCTCCCGACCAGTGGCCCGGCATGAATATAGGGGCCTCAGAAAGTTACCAACAATGTGTTTTTTTTGGGGGGGGGGAGGGGGGGGGGGTTCCTGAATAAACTTCTAGTAGAATGTACCCCCAACCCCTAAACCCTAAACCCCCAAACCCTATCTAATGTTTAAGGCCCCGGCATTCTGCAACGCAGAGAGCAATGGCTTCATACTTGCAGCAGGGCTTCGGATCGATGGCCGGAGTTGGGTTCAGTTGGGTAGTGGATGCGATGATATTTATAATATGTATACATATATATATATATATATATATATATATATATACATCTATATATATATATGTGTGTATATATATAAATTATGTATATATGGGTACTACATTAGATACTATAGTCAATTTGGTAGTCTTTTTGGACGCGCTGAAAGACTTGAAGTGAAGCCTCAAGCCCCTAAACCCTGAATCGCATCCAAAAGCCAGAATCAATCTCCGCAAGCCTCGAGACCTGCTGTTTCGGGAGTGTCTCGAGGTAGAATCACCTTTATCTTGATGTTGTGTTTTTCTTCTCTTCTCCTCTCCACTTCTCTTCAATCCTCTCTGTCCCCATGTTTGTCACTGTCTCTCTCTCTCTCTCTCCCTCTGTTTTTTTGTCTGAGTCGTTCGCCTTCTACCACCAGGTGAAACTCACGTTCGAGATTTACGGGCTTCTGTTGCCTACTCCGCCCGGTCCAAAAAGAAGAGCCTGTTTAGGGTGTCGGTTTTAGGGTATATAGGGTCTACCCATAGGCCCCATAGTAGTTCCTTTTTGGGGATTGCCTAATAGGATTCTGAATACAAACCACAAAAAAGAACTACTATGGGGCCTATGGGTAGGGTCTAGGGTTTAGGGTTAACCCTGAGCATCACGGAGCTTCAATTTGCCCGAGCCTCCTCGAATCAAGGAGGCTACCTGGTCTACCTGGGTAGTTGTGAGAATTATGGTCCCTTTTGGGGTACCCTAAAGAATAGGTGCCGGATTATAATAAGGACCCAAAAAGGGACCATAATTTTGACAACCACCCACCCAGAGGTTCATGGGTAGTTCTAAGCGGGTGTTACAAGTCCTTTAAGTTAGTATCGCTTAGAACTATAGTCCTTCAACTTATAGCCCTACCTTTATAGCTAACCATGAAACCTCCAAGCACATCATATATCCTCCCCCCCGCCGGTCCTTCTCAAGCTTCAACAGTCCCGAGCTCACACACCAAAGCCGTAAGTAGCCCGAAAGCCAGGAAACCCTGAACTTAGGGTTTAGGGTTTAGGGCTTAGGGCCCCAAGTCCCAAGGTATTGGCATCATGTCCTCCTGGACGGCTCATGACGTTGGTCAGACGATGCCCCTGGCGCTCTCCGTAGGCTTCCTAGGCGGGAGAGGGGGGGGGGGGGCACCGGATCTATCATATTCTGAAGCTCCCGGGACGGGTTTAGGCTTGAGGGTTTAAGGGCTTGCGTACCTTGGAGTTTAGGGTTTAGGGTTTGGGGCTTAGAGTTTAGAGTTAGGTTTTTGGCTTAGGGTTTAGAGTTTAGGGTTTGGGGTTTATGTATATAGACTTTAGGGTTTGAGAGGTCTCAGGGCTTCGGGCCTTTTGGGGCCCAGATCTCCAGATCCCCTCAAATTTCAGGATCCCGGTCAGGTGGGACTCTTCCGGGTGGCCTCTTGAAACATTGAAGAAGGGCCCCGAAACCCTAAAACCTCTAATACTCGAAACACCTTCAAAGCAAGTTGAGAAGAACATCCAGAAACCCTGGCCCTAGCCTACGAGAAACCCTAAACCCTAAACCTACTAGCCTACAAAAAAACCCTAACCCATAAACCCTAAACCTTCTAGCCTACCAAAAACAAGCATGCTCCAAACACCGAAAGATCCCTGGCAGGCTTCTTGGAAGCGTTTGCGACGGCACAGAACCTGGCGAAGCAGCACGGTTCCTGGGCGGGTCTCGCCTCTCCACCATGGGAGAGACTCTCATATCCCTCAACCCCCTTGAGTCCCTATAAGAGGCTAGTTTTTCATGGTTTGGGTCTCACTATGGTTTAGGGTTTAGGGGCATAGGAGGGTTTATGGGTTTACAGGTCTAGGGGGTTGGCGGACAAAGGATTTTGTGTGTGAGCCCTGAGCACGGGCCTCTTCCACCGATCGGAGCTTCAAAGTTTTCCCCCTGACAACCCTCCACCTGCTGCAAGTCCTACCTCTATGTAAATAGCTCGGAGTATCAGATTGAGCAGCTAAGTTTGCATCACCTTATAAACCCTAAACTAAGTGTTTGTGCTCTAAACACTGTGGCATCTTTGCATCCCCCTGCAGGCCCATGCGACAACTCCCTTTATTTTTGTTGTCGTTCTTTCTTTCTGGCAGATTATCTCTCTCACTCTAGGCGTATTCGTTTATGCAAACATGAGGGTGGTTCTAAAGGTCGTTGTCTACGGCTTGTACAAAATCGGCAGTGTGATAGGTTAAGTGTTATTCTGAACAACAACCACATAGATATAACGCATCTATGTGTGTGTATGTATGTATATATATATATATACATATATTGATTTATATGTAGTATTTATGTGTGTGCATATATATATATATATACTGATTTATATTCAGTATTTATGTGTGTGTATATATATATATATTTGTATACACGTATATACTTTTTTTATACATACATCGTTACAATACTTATACTTGTGTGCACCACGTGTTCATGTGGTGGTGTCTGTGGTAATACTGACATTCCCCTCTTTCCATATAAATATATATATATACACACACATGCACATTGGATATGTGCTTGCAAATAACATATACACATATACATACATACGTACCCCGAAAGAATCCCAGAAACCGCCCCAGTCCCAACAGGCTTGAGAAGCCTCGCGAAAATCAGGACATCTGTAACGGACCCATGCATTCATGAGTACATATATATATATATATGAAGAGAGATGGTAATTTTACATGTATGCATTATGTATGTATGTACGTATGTACGTATGTACGTATGTATTTGTGTATGTACGTATGTATTTATGTATCTATGTACGTATGTATGTACGTATTTTGTAATGTGTGTATTACTCGCACCCTGCAACCTCCGAGCTGACGAAGTCAGGCTACCAAGTGGAATCGAGCCAGGACGGGGCCAGATGTCGTTCTTTTCTTTGGGGTTCGGGGTTCGGGGTTCGGGGTTTAGGGCTTAGGCACATGTTGTTCTGTTCTTTGGGTTTAGGGTTCGGGGTTCAGGGTTTAGGGTTTAGGGTTTAGGGTTCGGGGTTCGGGGTTTAGGGTTTAGGGTTTACGGTTCGGGGTTCAGGGTTTAGGGCTTAGGCACATGCTGTTCTTTTCTTTGGGTTTCGGGGTAGGGGTTCAGGGTTTAGGGCTTAGGCACATGTTGTTCTTTTCTTTGGGTTTAGGGTTCGCGATTCAGGGCTTAGGGCTTAGGCACACAGAATCCTCGCCGTAACCGTAAACCTACACAACAAGTGCTGGCTCCTGATGCTTGCCGGGTGGCAAAGGCGTTGACCCTCCGCACTCCTACTTGCAAAATAGATCGCGCGCCCCAAACTCGAACAAACCCCCGATACCACTCGCCTCTGCCCCTCGAAATTGTTAAAGCCCTATTGGGAATAGCACCAGTACCCCTGAAGCCGCAGAGTCTAGCCTCGGACTGGCTGCGTCGAGCAACTCTAGTACATAGAAACCCAGAGACTCTAAAAAGGCTTACATACTCAAACAATATCGTTAAAAATTCTAGCAGGGATCCATGACGTCATGCGGCCTTACTGAACCCAAGACTGCTGTATAGCTGTTTCAGACCCCACCAAGCTTTGTAAAACCCAAAAGCAAGCTGATGCAACAATAAGAGAAAGCCTCGAAAGATATGTTCAAGACCTTCGTGAAACCCTTTGCTACACAACCCGCCGAAGACCTTTCAATAAGCGACCCTCGTAACACTGGATCGTGAAGCCCAAACCCCTAAAGCTTAAACCCCAAACCCTAAAGTTATCACACCTAAACCCCAAACCATAAACTTTATCTTTTTATCCTAGGAGTTAAAAGTCGGATGACTGTCGGCTTTCACCCATGAGAGGGCTTATAACACCACTAGAAACCTAAAAGCCTGAAACCCTGAACCCCTGAACCCTAAACCCCAAACCCCTAAACCCCTAAACGCCTAATCCTCTAAACCCTAATCCCCTAAGCGCTAAACCCTCATCCCTACACCCTAAAACCCTAATCCCCTAAACCCCTAAACCCCTAAACCTCTAAACCCTAATCCCCAAAACCTGTAAACCCCAAACCCCTAAACCCCTAAACCTGTAAACCATAAACCCTATAAACCCCTAAACCCCTAACTCCTAAACCCTGCACTCCTTCGAGAGCTTCCCGAACCCCACCAAGCAAACGCCCGGGACCCTTAGGGTACCCTTTTGGGAAGACCCTCAGTCTTAAACCCTTGGGTTCAGGGTGTAAGGTTTAGGGTCCTATAGGGTTTAGGGTTTAGGGTCCTATAGGGTTTAGGGTCCTATAGGGTTTAGGGTTTAGGGTTTAGGCTTCAGGGTCCTAGACTTTGGGGTTTAGGGTTTAGGGTCCTAGGGTTCACGGTCCTAGCGTTTAGGGTTTGAGGTCCTGAACCCTGAACCCACGCCCTAAACCATGACCACAAACCCTAAGTTATCGACCAGAACACCATGGCCTATAGGACGCTTTGGGCAGTTAGTTTTGCGAGAACCAGTGTGCACCAGACGTCTCTGTCCGACGCTTCTAGTGTCCCCTTCGATTCAGGAGCAGGGATTTGGGGGGTTCAGGGTTTGACGGGTGGCGATTTGCTTCATGTAAACCAGGGTTCGGGATTTTAGGCCGTTGGGATGTTGGGGCAGTATTCTAGCCAAATCCTTGGCTCGTATGGAATGTCAAATGTTAGAATGTGTAGGCTGTTCCAACGTACCAAGAGAATCGGTACTCGGGTTTCGGCTCGTAGCCGTGTAGCCTAGCACTGGAGTGGAGTATACTCCCCTTTAAAGAACAACTTAACCTACTGTATTTAATTTTCAAATAACACTGTTTGTGCTGTATTGGAGACATTGGCCTTTTGGCCTGAGCCCTACACCCTATACTCCTAAACCCCAAACCCTAAACCCAAAGTTCACATCCTTTAACCCCAAGCTGTAATCATCGTAACTGGAAAGCGTAAGTTTCATACCGAAACGCCCGGTGTTCTGCAATCCTTAAGGACGAAAAGAACCCTAAAAGTAGGGGCCCTATACCCTTATACTATGAATCCCTATATGGTCTATGAACCCTAAACTAAACCCTTTTAGGGCTCTTTTCGTCCTTAAGGTAGCCCTAAACCCCTAAACCCTAAACCTCTAAACCCATAAACTTCTAAACCTAAACTAAACCCTTTTCGGGGTCTTTTCGTCCTTAAGGGTGGAAGAGGGACAGCTGGCCCGTCAGACGTGGGAAGAACTCGCAGCGCGGACTTCTTGCTGGCGGGGCCACTGCGAAGACAGAACCCCGCTGAAAAAGCGGTTTAGGGTTTAGGGTTTAGGGATCTATGTTGTCCTTAGGGTTTCGATATGTTTCGATGTTATTTCGGCGTTCAGATTGCTTGGTTTCAAGGGTTTAAGGAGTTCGGGGAGTGATATGTACGCTGAAAAGTTTTGTTGCATACGGTTACCGGGGCCTAGCTGAATTTATACAGGCCCCGGCCGAGAAGGCCCGTTCCAAGGTGTCTAGAGAGTTTAGGGGCTGTTTATCTGTAGGTCTGTTATCAAACCTATTCAGAGGTGTGTCGGTGTGTCCAAGTAAACCCAAATACTAACTTACCTTCCTACGGTCCCAACACCAAATACCTAAGTCTTAGGTACTTCGGACGCCGAGGTTGGTGCTGAGAGCCCTACAAAGCCTACCTCCCCGGACCCGAAACTCAAACGCGTTGACCCGGGTCCTGATACCCTGAACCCTAAACCCTAAACCCGAAACCCAAAGCCTCTAAGGGTTTTAGGGCTAGGGAACCCTAAACCCTGAGCCTTCTTGAGGATTTAGGGTTAGGGCTTACCTGGGCCCCTTATTTTAACCTACCCTATTAAGGGCAAAGACACAAGACATCAACAACATGGAACCCTCAAAAGATAGGTCTGCAAGGGTCTTTGGAAGGTCGGGGTTCAGGGTTCCGGGCTTTTCCGTTAAGGAAACATCAGAACTGAACAACATTGTGGATTATGAGGGGCCGAGAATGGCGATCGCTTACACCTGAACCCTAAGCCCTAAACCCTAAACCCTAAGAAACGCTTCTGGGGCGGGGGGAGCTGGAGAACTTTGCCAGCCCTAGAATAGGTTTTTTTTTGGGGGGTTCCTTATTATAAAGATAGTATAATATGCCCCACAACCCTATTCTAATTGTTAAGGCCCTTATATATGAAGCATCCCTGAGCCCTAACTAGGTTTGCCAGGAATGCCGTTAGGCCCTTTTCGCGTCAGGCTGCCTTCTGAATACTGAACAACGGGAAGAAGGATACCCTTTTTCTGATGGGGACATCGGGTTTCGGTCTTGAGAGCTACCATTCTGGTTTCTGAAGGTTTGCCAGCAATTAATCCTCACCCTACCCTACGGGTCCAAGCACCCAAAATTAACATACTCCCAAATCCTAATCTACATAACTACCAACTCGAACCATAACTACCAACCCGAACCCAAGTACCTAATTATTACGTCCTCTGGACGCTTTGTACTTAGGGTCAGGGCAGGCCGACAATCACAAGTGTTCGCAGGCCGATCTCGTCGCTGCGTGCGCTTCAGCCCCAGTTGCTTCACAGATAATGTAGGGGTCGACATAACTACCAACACTATTTTGGGGGTTCCTCATTACAGTTACGAAATAAGTATACCCCCAAAACCGTATTCTAACTATTTAACCCTTAGCCTTATAGTA